GTGTTCCAGCGAAGCCCAACACAAGCTGGAGGAACAACACCTCATTTACTGCTTGGGAACCCTACAGCCCTCCGGACTCAACATTGAGTTCAATAATTTTAGGGCCTAAACTCTCCCATGTCCCAGACCCCCACCCCACCCACCAGGCCTTGTTACCACATAGCCTGCCATTACACACCCCCTGTTGTTAGTCACTAACAGTCTCCATTAACAACTATTCACCCTCCCAGCCTGATCGTTAGCAACTCCTTTGTCTGTCCAACTGTCTTTCTCTCTCTTTAGGCTCTATCCTATCACTTACTCCCTACCCCATCCTCCTCCCTATTTTCTGCATATAAACTGATGTTCTCCCAGCCACCATCAGTTCTGAGGAAGGGTCACCGGAACCCGAAATGTTAAGTCTGATTTTTTCTTCTCAGATGCTGCCAGACCTGCGGAGCTTTTCCAGCAACTTCTGTTTTTGTTCCTATACTCAATGCACTGACCAATAAAGGCAAGCATACCAAATACCTTCTTCACTACCCTGTCTACTTGTGAGTCCACTTTCAAGGAACTACGAGCCTGCAGCGCAACGTCTCTTAGTTCAGCAACATTCCCCAGGACCTTACCATTAAGTGTGTAGGTCCTGCCCTGATTTGCCTTTCCAAAATGCAGCACCTCACATTTATCTAAATTAAACTCCATCTGCCACTTCTTGGCCCATCTGATCAAGGTCCCATTGTATTCTGAGGTCACCTCCTTCGCTGTCCACTACACCTCCAGTTTTGGAACTGTGTTTTTTTTTTGTATGTTGCTGAACTGCTGCGGTTTTCCAGCAATTTCTGCTTTTGTTTCAGATCCCCCAGTGTCCGTAGTCCTTTCGGTGTTATTTTTACCTGTGAAAACTGTCAGCTCCCCTTTGCGATGGCCTTTGAGGAGTTTGTTGAGGTCGGGAAAGCGCTGCCACTTGATACCGGAGACCTGCTCAACGTTGGCCAACTCTCCGAAGACCTCGTCCCTGAGCTGACGGAAGGAGATGATGGACTTGTGGCTGGCCGCCATGGCGTTCTTCACAATCTTGCCCAGGTGGAGACCAGCCCCCAGAGCCTCGAGGGGGCAGGGCTGCTGCTCGCTGGGCCTCACCAAGTAGCACCGCTTGACGTTGAGCTTGCGGGCGAAGATCTTGGAGGCCTCCCAGGCCCGGAGGTCGCTGCCCAACCACAGGGTGATCCTCTTGAACTGCTCGAGATACGGCAGGAGCACAGGGGGCAGGCAACTGACCCCCCGGGGCAAGGAGACGCAGGGAAGGCCAGTAGAACAGCTGACTGCCAGGCAGTCAGTCTCTCTTGCGGTCAGGACCAGCGCTGTGTCCTTCCTCGACAGGACATGTAGGCCGAAGAGGTTGTTGTAACGGCCTGCCCGAGGTAGCGTCATTGCTGTGTAGTTTAGCCGCTCACCCTCGCGCTGGGCCGAGAGCAGCTTCAGGCCTTTCAGGCCCGAGTCTCTGCCTCCGAACCAGGGGAACACGAGGCTCCCAGAGGCCTGGCAATACCTGACGCTCAGCTTCCCCAGGGTTGCCTCAGGAACCTTCTCAATCCCGAACGCGGCCTTGACCGACTGCGCCACCTCCAGGGGCAGGTCCGGCAAGGCCGCTGCCCCGTCCCAGATCCTCCGGGCTTCGATCAGCTCGGCCTCCCGCTCGCTCAGCTCCCGGTCGCTCTCCGGCACCTCGAGCCGCACGTTGGGGCCCAGACTCTGTCGGCCTTCCTTCTGCATCACCTCCAGGCAATCCTGTAAATCCCTCCAGGTGCCCTCCAGCAGGCTCTCCTTGCACACGAACCCTCCCGTCGTCTTGTCGATGAACAGGGAGAAGTTCTCCCTCGCGGTCACTGCGCTCGGCCTGGGCACTTTGCTGGTGAATGGGCTCGGTGCCTGAAGGCAGCTGTAACCATCGTGGAACGGGACGCCCTTGGCTCGGAGGTACTGCCGGAGCTCGGTCACCGTCACCGGAGAGAAAACAGCCACGTGCTCCTCTGGGCCTCGGTTCTTGCCCTTCCCGCTGCCCCTGGAGCAGAAGGTGAAAGACTGGGGGCCGCCCAGGGGAGAGGGCAGCCTCCAGCCCCTTGGGCACGCTGATGCCCAGCACCCACTCCACCACGAAAGGCTCAGCCCCCGAACCGCTGCGCGTCCACAGTGAAACACGCACAGCATGCTCCCTGTGGGCAGAGAAAAGAAACCGAATGAATGACAGCAACAAACTACATTCCTGTAGCGCCCTTCGCACAGTGAGAATGCCTCCCAACCCCAAACTCCACCCCAGCCACTTCCCAAAAGGGGATGTAGTCAGACAGGATCCTGACACTAAGGGTGGGTGATCTAAAACTTGACTAAAGAAGGTTTTTGAGGGCCAACTAGAGAAATTGCTGGAGAAACTCAGCAGGCCTGGTCCCACCAGCGGAGAGCAGCACAACTGTTCTGATGAAGAGTTACCCAGACCCGGGACATTAATTCCATTTCTCTCTCTCTCCATAGATGTTGCCAGACCCGCTGACCTCCTCCAGCGTCTGTTTCAGACTCCCAACATCTGCAGAATTTGCCATTATTCGAAGATTTTTCAGGAGTTTCTTAAAAGGAGAGAGAGAATCGCACAGGACTTAAAACGTTGACAGCTGCAGGAACCCACTTTGAACCAAATGAAGATCCCAAAGCTGAGACTGCAGATGATTTGTAATGTTCTTCAAAGTTCTGGAGGGACAGGGGCCACGGGGGGAACAGAATGTGAGCGTGAGAATATCATATTACCCTGTGTTCTTGACCCCACATCCTACACGGAGATAGAACCCTTGACCTGTCGGCTCTACGGCTCCAAGCAATTCACACGTAGAGGTTAGGGTTAGGGATCCCCGTTCCCTACAGCAATATCTGCATCATCTCCATCTCTCACGCCTTTCTCAGAACCTCTAAAAACATTAACTTTTGCACTCAGTCTCACTGTTCTCACACCATCTATAAACTCTGACTAGCAATGTATACCATCTACAAGATGTACTGCAGAAATTTGTCAAACAGCCTTAGAAAGCACTTTCCAAACCCGACATCACTTCAATCTAGAAGGACAAAGGCAGCAGATACATGGGAACACCAGCCCCTGCAAGTTCCCCTCCGAGGCCCTCCCCATCCTGACTTGGAAATATACTGCCGTTCCTCCACTGTCGCTGGGTCAAAATCCTGTAATTCCTTCCCTAAGAGCATTGTGGGTCTACCTACATAGACTGCAGCGGTTCAAGAAGGCAGCTCACCACATCACCTCAACGAGCAACTAGGGACGGACAATAAATGCTGGGTCCAGCCAACGATGCCCACATTCTAGGAGTGAATAAGAGATGCCAAGTCACCCTATGCCCCACTAGGCTCACATCATTCTCAAATTCCCCAAGTGATGACCATTCTATCCCTCAGTAGCAGAAGCTGCTCATTCCCATCAGGAATGTGCACCTTATGTAATCATAGAATCCCTACAGCATGGAAACAGGCCATTCAGCCCATCAAACCCACACCGATCCTTCGAACAGCATCCCACCCAGATCCACCCCCACTATCCTATCCCTGTGACTCTGCATTTTCCATGGCTAATACCCCCAACTTACATATCCCTGAACACTATGGGCAATTTAGCATGGCCAATACACCCTAACCTGCACATCTTTGGACTGTGGGAGGAAACCGGAACACCCGGAGGAAACCCACACAGACACAGGGAGAATGTGCAAACTCCACACAGACAGTCGCCCGAGGCTGGAATCGAACCCTGGTCCCTGGCGCTGTGAGGCAGCAGTGCTAACCACTGAGCCACCGGGCTGCCCCATGATGCTTTCTCCAGCTACCAACTTCATGAACCCCCTGATTTAGTTCAACTTTAGGCAAAGAGGCCATTCAGCCCCTCAAGCCTGTACCACCTTTCAATGAGAACACAATTCAATTCTTCTCTTCTTGGATAGATCTTGAAACAGAACTACAGACTCTGCATTTGTGATAAATGAAAATTAATGGAGTTTTTTTTACAGATGGCCCCAGGGTCATCAGTTTAGTCCTGGCCAGCACAAGAAGATCCAAGTTCCTCAGAGTGACCATAACCGACAACCTGTCCTGGCCTTCTCATGTAGATGCAACAGCCAAGAAGGTACAACAACGCCTCTTCTTCCTCAGGCAGCTCTGGAAATTTGACATGTCCATAAGGTCCCTCACCAACTTTTACAGATGC